GGCATGGCTTAGCCATGCATCCGACGCTCGAGCACTGAACTGTTAAGTGGGTCAACTTGGAACAACGCCGGCCCGTAACCCCAGGATCCTAAAGGGGAAAAAACACAGGAAAACGAAAAGGGAAGAGAAAAGGGTCAGCTGATGGTCTCAGGGCAAGGTTCAATCGCGCCGAGCAGGGCCTTTTGAGCCAGTCGTTTCACAACGTACTCACGTCCTTCATCGTGAGCGCTACAATCTCGCCTCTCACTTTCCATACATGTACAGAACCGTGATAAACTGCAGGAGTGCTCGCTTCGATCCCTTGCTCACTAAGGAGATGGTGGCGCCCCACTTGACTGCAATGGTTTTCAGCTGCTCCACCGTGTCTGATGCCAACTCCTGCTTGATGAGATCGAGGTAAGTCGCTTGGTTGGACAGCGTGCGTTCGTGCAGCCACGCCTTGAAGACCTTGTCCGTGAGGCTGGTGGGAAGTGGTACCTGTTGACCCTTGGGATTGCCCTGACGTAGAAGTTCTGGATCCGGTGTGATGTCCGGGGCAACCTCCGGGGTCTTGCGCTTTGCCGGCCGTCTTTTGGGGGCTGGATCAGCCTCCGGGGATGGAACTGGTAGGGGAGGTCCGTGAGCATCCAACCTCGCCGCGTTGATGTATAGGGACTGGTCAGAGCGGCCGGGTGTAGGGGTCCAGGATGCGGTATTGGAAGGAGACGAGGATGGCTGCTTCTTGTCCGGTGTAAGAGTGATGCCCTTGTTCTTGTAGCGTTCAAGCTGTTGTTCCAATTCGGCAATTTTGTGGCGAGTGAGGACTCTATGAGATCCACGATTTTGAGCGCAAGTGGCTCCATAAACTGCATAGCCTCGTTGCGCTTGTCCGGCGCATTGTCCGCGTGGAGAGAGCGGGCCGTCCGGTCGATGTCGACCTCCCTGCCTCTCAAGGCTTTGAGAATAGATGTCAATAACACCGCCTCGGCTATTGTCTGAGCCATTACCGGTGTACTGTATCGCCCGTTCGACAGCGCTCGTAGTGCGTGATCTTCTGCTCCTCCTCGAAGAAGTCGTGTCAATGTGAGATCTAAGATTGCTGTTCCTGCGAGCCCGACCCTTCTGGACCACTGAGTGGGTTGAATGTGACGGGCCGCGGACTTCCGTCTTGTCGAGGAAGATGTCATCAGATTGAAAGGTGCTAGGGAGCAGCTGCGAATATCGAGGCTGAGCTTACTGCGTTGCATCGCCTTGGCCTAGAGGTGCACGGGCCTGAAGTTGAACTGGTGGTGCTGGTGGTGGGGGCCGAGGACCTGTCTGCATGTGGGTTGTGCCACCACCATGATAGTTGTAGAACTGACCAGGAGGCTGAGGAGGGAACTGGTGAGCCATATGTGGAGGCCGAGGAGGATTGACTCGGGATGCTGCTTCCTCTCCAGGTTGGTGCTGCAAGGATTCCGTCCGATTGGAGCTCAAATAGGATTCCTGCTGGGACTGCGGTACTGACCATGATGGAAGGTACGAAGACCCCAAATGCAAGGAGGAGGAAGGTGCCGACGTCGCCGGCCACGAATAGGTCCACTGAGAAGCCATCACGGGATGGGGGTTCATCTGCGACACTTGCTGATTGATTAAACGCTATAGGCATACGGCACGAATTGTCGAAACGGCAAACGATTTGCAATCAAGCCCAGAGCTTTTAAAACGAGAAACAGCGATTGTCACAACGGGTCAGCACATTGCAAATGAAACCGCAAGAAGACCAACAAAATAAAGTCGTGCTTGAGTAAGGCTCTAGCGTGCACTTTTTGTCGCAAAATATCGTCGGCGGTCGAAGACGGCAGTGTGGCGAAGAATGCTCTTATTTGCAATGAAACATCATTAATTGTCGTCGGGCGCCGCAGCTCTTGGTGCAGGTTCACGAGCGGAGGACACCTGTGGGCGGTTTCGCATCGGTAGGCCATGCGAGTCCAACGATCTGGCTTGCTTCTGGAATCACCATCCAACACTTGCCCGACACATAGTGGATGACGTCAGGACGTTCACTGGAATCCAAGGCCTCAATGCAAGCTTGCTCTCCTCCCGAACGAATCGGCTGACAGGTACCGACAGCGCGCCCAAACAGCAGCAATTGGGCCATGTTGAAATACTCCAGTTCTGGCTCATCGTGCGGGCAATTTCTTCAGCATCATAATCGGCGTGTCCAGTGATCTTCCAACCTTGGGCGTAAAAGGCTGGGCACTCCGAGGAGTGCTGCCGGCAAGGATGTATCTGTCGGCTTCGCAGTATGCCTCTGGTGCCGCCGAAACTGGATGCGTGAGTCCAGAGAAGCATGGGCCGCGTCTTCGTTGGTTCTTTGAGCCGAACTGTGGCGCCAAGGTAGGGGATGGTCAGCATGAACCAGTGTGGAGTGATCTTGGAGTAGTGATGTTCCGGGTTGACCTTGGCATAGTTCAGGGTGGAGTGCTGAGACGGTATGCCTGCTGCATTTAGGGTAGCGGCCACATAGTCCATCTGCTCCTGATTGACCGGGATCCCGTCGCGGACGTACGGCGAGGCGAGCACCTGAAGTTCGTTCCTCCACGGGTTGGAATTCGGGTTGGGAAGCAAGATCAGCGGTGGGTGCGCCTGCGGATTTGGGCGCAGCTGCATGCTTCTCGAGGGTGACTCCGCAACTGGATGAGCACCTGTTGCTTCTTGGTCGCCGGGATGAAGCTTTAGTTGCCGTAGGTACTCGGGATGAGGATTTAGCTGCTGTAGGCGCCGACGCGGCGAGAGCCGGTGCTGCCGTGGTTGAATTATCCGATTTTGCGTCCCTTCGGGAGATCGGTGGTGGCGTCCTGGAGCGAGCTCGACCTTGACGCTGTGGAGGCACTGACTTGGAGTAGGGGGATGCGTTGTGGGAACGTGACCGTTCTCCCTCCGTTGTGTGGCGTGATCTTGCTGGTGGGTTGGTCGGTGGTAGCATCTGACCTGATGGAGTTGCCGTAGGGGTCGGTGCTATAGGGGTCGGTGCTGTGGTCTGAGATGGACATGCTGTGGTTGGAGCCGTTGGGGTAGTCGGCGTCATTGGAGTCATTGGAGTCATCGGAGTTGCTGGGCGCGCCTTCACCAGGATTTGCGGCAGTGGGCCAGCCACTGATGCAGGCCAGACAGGCAAGGTAGGGATCGATGCCGAGGCGTCACCGGGAGCAAGCGCTGGAACCGAAGGTTTGGTAGCCCTTGAGGTACGAGACAACGCGCCAGAGATGCTGGAGGTTGGTGTCACAAGTGCACTCCTGCTCGGTGATGCTGTCTGGTTCACTGGTGATCTAGGTGGCGTAGGGCCCGCAGTGTTCCTGGATGCCTTGGTCATGGGGCCTGCTGAGTTCGACATCGGGCCTGCGTTGGGCCGTGGCATCTGTTGCCTGCAATTGCGAGCCAATAGCCAACTGACGGCGTCATGGATTCATGCCTGATATGTCAGGTAGTCTGGCAGTAGGTCAACTGGGGAAGTCAACCGTGAAATGATCTGGGGTGCTGAAACGTCTGGGACATGTCCAAGCCTGTGGTGAAGGGTCAACGGGGAGATTCCAGAGTCGCGAGCGACAAGGTCCGGTGGTTGTCTGAAGAAGGTGTCGGTACATGGGCCATAACAGGTGCCCGCAAAGGGGATCAAGACACTGACCGAAGCCCGGACGCAGTGCCTAAACACACTTGATATGAGACGGCGAAACTGACAATGCGCACCCCCATGCAGGCACAGGCTGTTTGAAGGTCTCCGGCAGGGCAATGGAGTTTCGGCACCGAGGAAGTCTAGACATCTTTCGCTAACGCACTCTCCTCTTCCGGACCGCCAGCAGTGCGTTAGTTACTCCATGCTAGATCGTCCAAGGCGGTGGCGGCCGACTCCAAAAATAGACACAACCGCAGAACCCCTTAGGAACAGGGGGGCCACACACACACACCCGAGCGCGCGCGCACGCGCACGCACACGAAAACGCACGCCCACGCGCACGCGCACGCACAGGCGCACGCCCACGCCCACGCCCACACGCACGCACACTGACATGCACATGCACACGCACATGCACAGATTCACACATGCACACATGCACACATGCACACATGCACACATGCACACATGCACACATGCACACATGCACACATGCACACAGACATGCACACATGCGCACATGCACACACGCACACACACACACACAAAGACACACACACACACATACGCACCCGCACCCGCACCCGTTCCCGCACCCGCACCCGCACACGCACACGCACACGCACACGCACACGCACAGGCACACGCACACGCACACGCACACGCGCACGCGCACGCGCACGCGCACGCGCACGCGCACGCGCACGCGCACGCGCACGCGCTCGCGCTCGCGCACGCGCACGCGCACGCGCACGCGGACGCACACGCACACGCACACGCACTCGCACACACCCACACCCACACCCACACCCACACACACACACACGCGCGCGCACACGCACACATGCGCACGCACGTGAACGGTTGACGTGCGCAAAGTGTGAGTCCAGCATGGATCCACCCCAGTGTTGAATGCAATTAGGAGTTTAGGCGGTCTAGGCGGGTCGAGACATTGATTTATCCACCATTGCGTTTCATTGCGTGCCAAGGGCCCTGAGCCCAAAAGCACAGTCGCTGCTGCAAGCATGAATTAGGATTTGCTGAAGGGGTTGTTGAGGCGTTGTATGATAGATACATGACCCGAAGCCAATACGTACCCAATACGTACGTGATAGGAAAAAGACAGCCTTAGAACCTCTGATTGAAGGCCAGCGATCTCATGTTTCTCTCCGGGACGATTTGTTTTTTGGATTATTTCGACAGCTCTGATGTTTGCGTCGTGCTCGCATGCAAAGGCGATACTGTTGTCAACGTTTGCCTCCATTTGCTTAAGACTATACTGAACGTTTTTTCTTCTTCTAGGAAGCATATGCGAATGGAAGCTTGTCGCTTCAAGCGGAGAGAGCGAGAAAGAGCTTCACTCCAGGCGAGCTGCACTGGGTTGACTTTGCCAACCGCACGGTGAACCCCAACAGTTGCGCCTCTTTAGGCGCCTCGAAAGCAAACTTTCTTGGGCCCATGGGATTGGTCGTGCATACGGCGCATTCAAGAACAAGTTGGTTCTCGCATGAGGGACACGAACTGCATACGAGTTGGTCTTAGAGAAAAATAGATGCTAAGTGTGTAATATACTTGCTGGTGGTTGGGAGGGAGCTAAGGAGGGGGTATCCAAATTTGCCTTTAAAGAGGGAGCTGAGCAGCTACCAGAAGTTCTATAAGTGACATGGTAGTGTAGGCAAGCACCACTGGGTTCACGAGAGCTGTGGTGCCATGGTTTCGAGGGCTTCTAAATCGCTCGGGTTCGCTGTCGAAGTGATGTTTCAAGAGCAGATCTGCCTCAGCTGTGATCGAATGGCCCGTGGAACTTGTATCGACATCTGCTGCTTTGGTATACGATTCTTTCAGGGGTTCAACACGACGTGCCTTTAGTGATTTGTCAGGCCTTTCCGGACATTTGAGAAATGGGTTCTTCTCAAAATAAGGGTCTTCCAAAATGGGTGGCTTTCCTTTTGGTTTCCCTTTCCAACCCCAAAGTGGTACCACCGAAAAACGCTTCGGAGGCTTCACGGGGGCCAGCACCCTTGCTGAATGCCGCCTTGCCTGTGACAGCGGATCAGAGTGTAACACCGCACCTCGGCTTCCTTGGTCTCGCAAGCCGGGAGCTCCCAGAAAAGACCCAACGGGGCTGGAGAAACTTGGTGGCTCCCGAAGGAAACCCATCCGGTTCCTTCGCATTTTGGATCCTTTTAGTGTTTAGTGGTTTCCACTTCACTAAAAGTTAGCCACTTGTAGCGGGGGATCTGAGGGCGGCCCGGGAAAAGGAAACAGGAGAATGGATAAAGAGCAGCGGGTTTTCGACATAATGCGGAAAAGTGACTGCTAAGGCTTCAAATCCAGAAATCCCTTTGACTTTTGCCCTGAATTCAGATCCTTAAGGCTAAGGCCCAGGACACTATGAGCAATATGTGAACCATGTCCAGAGCAGTCTTTTACCTTCAACTTGCTGAAGCTAGAGTATTTTGGCATTTTTTGCCCTGTTAGCTTTTAAAGGGAGTCGATTTCACCACTGGAGAAAAGTTTTTGTTTTTTTTCCGACGAAAAGGCGAATGGCAGATTACATTTTACATTTGTCTCGGCTTTGAGTTCAGCTAGGCGGCCACCGACTTAGCGACCAAAGCCCCAAAAGGGAAGGCTCCATATTCACAAGTTTCTCAAAATAGGAATCGGACCCCTTTTTTGATGAGTTTCAATGGCAAAAGTTTTAAGACCGCCTGGAGGGGTCTCCAATTTGGAGAAACACCCAATAGTCCAAAGTTCCAAAGCCCAAAATCAAATAGGGAGCCGGGAATCGGGCCTGCCAAAGTAGTCTTTGGTTCTCCTTCGGTCCTTTTCGGCGCCCGAACCATCGTCAACGGGCTTTGTACTGCCCCAACACCGTTCGGTTTGGCTTTTTGTATTTGGCTGGGGCAACACATGTGGATTCCCCACCCTTTGCAATCTTTGGCGGGTGCACTGTCTCGTTCTGCTCTCGGTGCCAAGTGTTTCTCTACGTGTAATCACTTCCCCCTATTAATAAAGGTCTCCCTAATAATAAATATTTGTTTCGGAAGTCCCAAATCCGGGAATACTACTTTTAGAATAGCCAATACTAAACCAATTCTACAGTAGATATTTTCCTGCCCGTATTCAAATCCAGCCCCATTAGGGGGACCCCAGGGGCACGTTTCCTTTAATTACTACGGCTGTACTACAAAGTTGCGACTTTCAGGCCAGAGCTCCGGGAGCGTTTCCTTTACTACGGCTGACTACAAAGTTGCGACTTTCGAGCCAGAGCTCCGGGAGCACGTTTCCTTTACTACGGCTGTACTACAAAGTTGCGACTTTCGAGCCAGAGCTCCGGGAGCACGTTTCCTTTACTACGGCTGTACTACAAAGTTGCGACTTTCGAGCCAGAGCTCCGGGAGTACGTTTCCTTTACTACGGCTGTACTACAAAGTTGCGAAAGTCGCCTGAGCTCCGGGAGCACGTGTCCTTTACACGGCTGTACTACAAAGTTGCGACTTTCAAGCCAGAGCTCCGGGAACACGTTTACCAAAAACCCACAACCAAAAACAACAAAACGTGACCTCAACTCCCGCTACTTAAGCTCCTTACTCAGAAATGTGCGTTTGAAGCGATTTTACGGAACGGAACAGGGGGACCACAGTTGCAAACAAGCCTACACAGAACAAGAAGTACCTCCAAAACCTGCCCTCCAGAACCAGGGGACCCCTAATAATAAAAATTGTTTTGCAGGCCGGGTATTTTTTTTATTAGGGAGGGGGGGGGGGGGGGCGTCGTTTATTATTAGGGGGAAGGGATTATCGCATTGGTATGGGATGAGAAACCTGAGACAGAAGGGCGTGCCGGATGCTCGTCTCGTTTTGCTTTGGAGGTTGGCTGCATGTGTGTGTGTGTGGGTGTGGGTGTGTGGGTGTGCGGGTGTGTGGGTGTGTGGGTGTGTGTGTGTGGGTGTCTGGGTGTGGAGTGGGGAAGCCAAAAGCCAGCAGCCGACTTTGGAGTTGCGATGCGAACATGTTTTTCCTCCGGTTCCAAGACTCGAAACCACATGTGACTGCCGGTCTTCTCAATTTGTCTTAGATATTTCTGCTTTTGAGATTCCTCATGAGCTGTTTGAAAGACAAAGTTGGAAGCAAGCTGAGGCCCATAGAAGGCCTTAAGAGCCAACGGACATTCGTGTGGGCGAAGGTGCTCTGAAATCCACAAGCCCTGTGCTCGGGTGTTGGGAAGCTGTTTGCTCTTATGAGTACTGGAAACATGTCAGGCAGGGCATCATACTGAGCCTTTGCGGCGAAGTCTCAGTGCTTCGGTTTTTTTACGACACTTTTGCCCTCTCGCAGGTGGTTTTTGAGCACGAGGACGGCTGGTGCAGCTTGTGGAATTGTGCGACCTGGGAAGCTCGGTGGCAGTTTGGCAGTTCGATCGTGCCAGCATTGGTGCTTGACGGCGACGAGCATGACTTGCTTTGCTAAAATTACTTTCTACGTGCCCCCGTTGGTTGTTAAGGGAATCAACACGCATGTTTTTTGCCCCGGGGACTGAAGCAAATGCAGGATTGGTACAGGGTAGTGAGGATGACGGTTGCGCGGAGTCTCGCTGGGATTTTGAAGCAGTGTAGTTTCGCGGCACCGGGGGCTGGTTCAGCGTACCGCAAAAGAAAACAAACTTGCATTCTGTTGGATTTGGTGTTCTTTAATGTTGACCCAGGACTAATAAACACGTCCCATTAGGGGGGTGTTCCCTCCAAAAGTGGTGTGAATCCCCACTCAAAGAAGACCCCCCCAATCAAAATCAACCAGGGGTTGATGAATCCGGGGTTAACATTGCAGACTGCAACAAAGTTCAGGCTCGCCGGACTCAGAGGCGTGAGCGACCCATAACAGCTCCATGGCGCTGTGACTTCAGCCTTCCATCCCTTTGCAAGCATGACTGAACACTTTTGTTGATTCTTTGATTCTTTGGAGCGGTTGAACGTCGAAAAAGAAGAGCCTTAGCCAGTGGCCGCGGGCCTGTCGAATGGAGTGAGCCCAGGATGTCTTCCCTCACCAGATGGGGAAAAGCCTGTCCATCCAGATGCAAAAGCACCTTGGCACGTGTTGGTTGATAGAATGTGGATGCGGCAATGCGGTGGCTATGTCGTCATGCTGTGGTTATGTCGTCAAATGGCTGTGGCTCCAAATTAAACAGGAGGGGTTACGCAGGTTTTGGTCCATGGTTCCACTTGCCAGGGTTCCATTTTGGTACCGGTTTTTTGAGCCACAGCCAAATATGGGACCCTCGAGATGGATTGATTTCACCTTCATCGTTTTTTTACCTTTCCGCAAGTGGTTCACTTGTTGTGACAATTCTCTCCCCTTTCTGAAAGTGTGGAGTCCGGATCGGGCCAGGAGCTGGGAAGCGTGGCGGAGCAATCCCAGCCAACTGAAGCATGGGTGCATTTGGCCAGGAAATGTGTTGATTGTGAGACTCTTTGCGGATGTGACAGCCATTGCAATGAGTTTGTGCACAGCTGCAACAGCAGAGCTGGCGGCCAGAACGAGCCGGTTTTGCGGATGGCCTTCAAGGGATGTGGCTTGAGGGTTTACCAACAAAAGAATACAATGCAAGGCCTTGTTGCGATATGGTTTTGCCGAAGATGGGCTGAGCAAGGAGCCCCGAATTTTTCCTTTGAGGTGAGTTGGACAGGTGCTGCACTCTTGGCTATAGGCGGCATTGTGGGAATCCATTGGAAGCACACCAACCCTCCGATGTCATATATCCTCCGATGTGATCCGTCAAAAATTCCAAGGCCAAAAACTAGGGAGGATGGTAGGTGGTTGTTGAATGGCACCTCCTTGAGAAGGCTCTTTTCTAAGCTCATCTTGGTTAAGTTTGGTCTTGTGTTGGTGAGATTAGCCTGCGAGTGGTGATCACTCATGCCGAGGCGTTCTGAGCGGCCCCCTACCGCAGTGGATGTGTTCCTGGCAACCCCACAGTGGGTCTGGGCCTGAGTAAACTGATCGACCGGAAATCCAAATCACGAAAGCCCTAGCTGCAGTGGTTCTACCTGAGCTTTGCTTAGCAATCAGGGCGTGTGAGGGGGAGGAGAAGGCACAAATGGTCCGGGCCAATTCTTTGTAAAAAAGCACGGGCTTGGACTTGCCTGCGAAGCTGATTGATTTGAAACGCTACAGCCTGTACCGTTGCAACTGTTTCGGCCCAGCCGAAAACGCCACCGAATCCATAGTTTTGCAGTTTTGCTGCTGGCAGTTTCGACGGGAGGCCCCGAGCGAGGCTGAAAGGAGGCCAAAAAGGCCCTGCCACGCAAAGTGGCAGCAGGAGGCCTCGAACGCTCAAAACGGCAACGTGAGGCCCCGAACGAACCAAATCGGCACTTTTGCCGGGCTCCCGTTGCGAATCCATGCGTCGTTTTGAGCGGCTCGCTCCGCCACCCATTCCTCGCGACGTGTCGGGGGGAGGGCTTTGGCTGTTCTGCGGGAGCCTTGACAGGAGGCCTCAAAGTTCCTGTTGTTTGCCGGCCGCCGGGCCGGATTGCCGTACGAGGCTTCCGTTGCGAATCCGTGCGTTCCAGCGTTCTGGCAGTACCCCAATGAGTCGACCCAGCCAGCCTTGCTTTCCAAACGAGAAGGGAGTTGTTTGTCCACATTGCTTTGTGGGCGGACAGGTGGATAAAGCTTGCATTTGCCGGCCCACCAGTGGCTTGCGCACCGCCGAGCGAGGCTGAAAAGGGAGGCCGAATCGCACCTCCCTGTTTTGCGCTCCGCTTGGCCCAAAGCGGCAACGGGAGGCCCCGAACGAGACCAAATCGACACCTTTGTCGGGAGCCCTTCGGGGCTGGTTGTGGGCCTGCCATTGCCGTTTTGTGTTCCTGCTGGGTCTCAACACAGCAACGGGCCCCGAACGTCCAGTGCCGTGCGTTTCGGGGCTCGTTATTCTTCTCAAGGGGCTCGGGTACCAAGGAGGTGCCGAGCGAGGCCGCAGCGCTGGCCAAAATAGCAAACACCGCGATCTGCTCCACTTCTGTCTTGCCGCCCTTCTCATTGCATTCGCTCCCCTGTCGCGCGATGCTTTCGTTCTTGCCTCGCTCAAGTGATTGTAATTGAGCTGATGTTGCTAACTTTCACTGGCTTTGGCCATGGAGTTGTAGGCTTTGACCAATTTGTTGGAGGTGCTTATTCCTATGCGGAAAGAAAATGGAGGCCCATTGGATTCTGCGTAGATGTAGTAGTAAGCTGTTAGTGGTCTTTTTCCGGCACTTCTAGCTACTTCCAGAAAGAAGCGCGTTTTGGCTTGACATGCATGGGAAGTCAGCTGTTCCGAGGCTCTGCCGATAATTCTGTCTCGTATGGACAAGGAGGAGCTTGAGGCCGGGATATAGATTAGCGGTTTGATATGAGTTGAGTGTCCACCATGGAAACAGGAATAGGGGTATAAGATAACCAACAAGCTGTTCAACACCAATGCAGCACCCGGTGCGGGTGCGGGCGCTGGTGCTGCTGCTGCTGCTGCTGCTGGTGCTGCTGTTGGTGTTTGTGTTGTTGTTGTTGCTGCTGCTGCTGCTGCTGCTGCTGCTGTTGTTGTTGTTGTTGTTCTTGTTGTTGTTGTTGTTGTTGTTGTTGTTGTTGTTGTTGCTGCTGTTGCTGTTGCTGTTGCTGTTGCTGTTGTTGTTGTTGTTGTTGTGGTGCTTGTGCTTGTGCTTGCGCTTGCGCTTGCGCTTGCGCGTGTGCTTGTGCTTGTGCTTGTGCTTGTGCTTGTGCTTGTGCTTGTGCTTGTGCTTGTGCTTGTGCTTGTGCTTGTGCTTGTGCTTGTGCTTGTGCTTGTTGTTGTTGTTGTTGTTGTTGTTGTTGTTGTTGTTGTTGTTGTTGTTGCTGTTGCTGTTGCTGTTGCTGTTGCTGTTGCTGTTGCTGTTGCTGTTGTTGCTGTTGCTGCTGTTGTTGCTGTTGTTGCTGGTGTTGTTTTCGGTGTTTCCTTGGCTGTTTCTTATTGACGTTCTTTGTTTTTGTTTGTTTTCTTTGTGTTGTTTGTTGTTGCTGCTGCTGCGTTGGTTGCTGCTTCTTCTTTTGGTGCTGTGCTGGTGATAGTGCTGATGCTAGCTGTTGTGGCTCTGTTTGTGGCGGTGGTGGCTGTAGTCTTGGTCGTCACTGTCGTTGTCGTTGCTATGGTGGTTGGTGTGGTCCGTGTGGTGGCGTCATCGACACTATTAATTGAAGAATTCAATGTGCGTGATCCTGCTTGTGGTAGTTGGATGAAGTTTGTTTTTGCCGTCTCGCTCTTGTCGCTGCACGCGGGTGTTTGACACGCTTTATACAACTTATGTTTGTTTCCAGTCTCTCGAAGTGCTTACAAAGTGAAAACCTGAGAACTCCCGAGAAGCATTCTGCTACTTGTGTTCAAAATCACAGGTATATTTCTGAAGTCACACTAGCGAGCCAAGTGGTTGGCAACCAAGGGGCGTTGACGTGCTCAGTGTGTTCTGTCAGCCGGTCTAATGTGCTGTGGTTGTTTTTGCGGCAAATGCTAAGTTGCAGGCGTGGACGTTATGGCAATATTCAGCGGAAGTTCATGCTGCCACGCATGAGTTTGCAGGAAGCAAACGAGATCATTCGCGCAAGAAGCCTTTTACATGTCTAATAGCAACTTGTGCCGCAGCATCTGACGGAAACACTTTTGTCCACATGTAGGTGTGAGCTTTCATTGATGGGAACACCCTCAGAAAGGATCATTAAGAACAACACGCAAAGGATGCCCACCAGAAAAGCACCCAAATGCAGCCTTATGCCTCGTGAAAGCTGCTGATGCGGAAGTTTGGCTGAATGTGTGGCGGCCTGTAGCGGCCAGTTCAGAGCTCCATTTTTTGGAATTCAAAGTGCCTAAGCGATGAGATCCTTTGACGGAAACTTGGGAAGTTGGTTGGAAATATAGCAAGACTCTATATTCCCTCCGTACAATGATGCGTGTATAAATGTATAAATATAAAGCTAGTAAGCACAAGTTGCATACATGTTCATGGATACTAGTTGTTCTTGAAATACCAAGCTCCCGTTGTTCACCTGGCAGCACGAAAGGGAGGCTAGGTCTTACCGGTCTTACATGAACTTCCGCGGAACTGCCGCGCCAGGGGGCAGTTCGAGATCTTGCAACGGTCAGCAGTGCTGCCGAGTCCTGGAAACATTGGCTGTGCATCGGTGCCCAGCTTTCACCCTGGGAAACATGTCCGTTCTTTGTTGTTGTTGCGACAGACGGAGCACCGTGAGACTTGCACCTTGGACCATTTAGGAGTCCTTTCTGAGGCGCAAATTCTTGAAGGATCAATCTGACAGACTTGTCCTTCGCTTGTTACTCGGTGCATTTGGATGTGTTCAGCCTGAACTGTTTGCTCATTTGGAAATTGATGAGTGTGCCAATGGACCAAGAGACTAGCGCTGTGGCTCTGGCGAAGATCCTGGTTTTATGTAAAATTGAAGGAGGTAATTTAGGCAAACCGCCAATGAGCTCTATGCAAGCCCCTGAGAGAGCCAAGGTTCTATTCTTAGTTCGGGAGATATCGATGTGGTACCCAGTACTTTGCCAGTGGGATGGAGACTCTTTTCAAAGGCGGCATTACAAATTGATGATTCAACATGCACGCTGTGTGTTCGATTGTTTTGACATGGGCATAGGGATACAGCAACGCTAGGGACTCCCGGATGTGGACGTGTTGAAGAGGAGCATCCAAAAACCCAACATTGCCAAGTCCGCATGTTCACGCATTTTATCAGAACGGGGGAAGGGGAGAGGGGGAATTTTCTGCTTCGCGCGTGAGGAAGCTTGGAAGAGTACCATGCGCATGACGTGGAGCAACATTACCAAATGGCCACCAGGCAGTGCTCGGACTTGAAGTCACTGGCGATTTATGTATTGAGACCATGGAGATTGGAACGGACCATTGGGACCATTGGGATGGGACCTGTTGAAGTACCAGAAGTGTTTGCGGGCCATGGGGAGTTGGTCGCTTGGGACTTGGTCGCTTGCTTTGCCTCCTGGACTTGGACCTGCATATGTTTTGTGGTGTTGAAATTAGCTGCGTCGTTTCATGTGGATGTCCTGTACTTGATGTCCCCTCGCTATCTGCCGGTATGGGGCTGAATTGACAAACGCGAGTTTCCCAACGTCCAGCTTTCTACTGCGACTCAGTGTGTGACTGGGGCCTTCGCCGATCTGCGGATCTGGTTCATCTCGGAAACAAAAGTCTGCGGTGTCAGACCCTTGAAAGAAAACAGGGCCCACAAGGTTGGGTGGTTCTCCACTGCAGGCTTCATTGAGTTGGGTAATTCTTGCGTGCCGCATTCCAGGGTAATTATTTTGTGGTTTCTGACTGACTACTGCTTGCATGCTGCGTTCCGGTGTGTATGGCATTTCTGACTGTTTGCTGCAATGCGATAGCCTCAAAGTGGGGCAAAACATGGGCCAAAAACTTGAGGGTCCGAACGATATGTATTATACATTTCTATATTTCTGCTTCAGGGGAGGTCCGCTATAGTTCTCGTCAAAATGAGGTCCGTGCTTTGGGCCCCGAAAAAACGGTCAAAATTGCAATTTCCGAATAAGAAATTTCACCAGTAGAAAGCTTTATAAGTCTTTGTTTGGGATTTGGGCTGGTTTCGCATTGGTTTAAAATAGGTGTAGTAAGACTCCAGTTTGGGTCGACTGGAAATTTAATCGTTTAGAATTTGGGGAAGTTCTATTGTTGGGGATTTGGGGTCTGGACAAGCATGAATCTGGTGTATTTTTAATTCGGGGGATGCGATTGTAAAATGCTTGTGAACTGCATCGAAATTCAGAAGAGCGTTGGCGCTATCTTCAGCTGGATTTACCCCTGTGAACCCTCACTTGTTGCCCAGAATACACTACTAGGTCCCCCAGTAGTGTCCTTTTACCTTTTTTTGGGGAGGGTTCCCCTACTAAAATAGACTACAGCCTAAAGGGCACCCTTTTTCTAACCTCTCTACTGGAGGACCTTAACAAAGAAGTGCCTGTGGGATCTAAATCCCGTAGCACTCCTGGGGAAGGCCTCGTCTTTCATCCTGTGACCCATGAAACTTCCATGTTTCTGGAGGATATTTTGACCTGCAGTGCTAGATTAGCAGTTAAATTCACCCTGCATTGCCACACTTGTTGGTTTCTGAGCGCTTGTATTGCTTCGTTAGTTCAACACAGCGTGCTGCATGCTGCGCTCTGGTTTTCCCTTCCACAAGTTTCGCCTCAGAAGTGTCAGACTTGTAATCGACTTCGTCGAGAAAATTCATGTTTCTTCGTGAAGTGAACCATGGGGTCAACTTGCGGACTAAGCAAGCCAAATGTTTGCAATGCGCCCTCCGCATAGGCACACACACACAAACTCATTGAGTAGGGCACCCTCGATCAATTTCTCATGTTTGCACAGCTACAACCCGCTGAGAACAAATGGGTATGGGTCAAAATTAACCACCAGACCGCAAGTTTTTAGTCCTTGGTTCCATTTACCAGTTCTAGTTTGGGGTTACCCTATTTTTGACCCAAGGGCAAATGACTTGTGTTGTCATTGTGTTTTTCCACCAGCGGTGGTTATCGAAGTGCGGGGGGGAGGGGGGGGGGGGGGCAGGTCTGGGGATCGGGGGGGGGGGGTGGTTTGGGGATGAGTTTGAAACTGAAAATATTGAAGTTAAGTCCTGTTGGCCAGGTAGCCTTTTTGGGCCGGAAGCACTCCGCCCGCTGGTGGCGGAATGCTTGCTCAAGGAGAGCCCGTGCCGTGAGGGTCCTGTGCTTTGCAGTTGTTCGGTCTATCAGACGGCTGTGGGTCAAAACCAATGGTACCATGTTGGGGTAGGTGCACCACCAAATTTAGTCTAGTTTAGTGGGGATTGGGATGTTCACTGGGCCAGGGGGTACGGGATTCTGACCCATGGCCAGACATTAAAGGGCAGCAGGATTTGTTTCGGATTTGTGCCAGAATCACCCACAGGACCACAAGTGCGATGTGCGCAGCCCGCAATGAGCCAGTTTGCAAAGATGGTTTTCTTGTAAGCAGGTTACACGATTGGCCCTGCTGACTCAGAAAGACTTGGCGAAGTGCGTTTCAGAGTGCGCCCCATGGGCGCATTGTTTACCACGCCTGCGTGTCAGCGAAAGTGAAACTCCATGAGCCCAATGCAGTGTTTGTTCAAGCTCTTGCTCAATGCTATGAGCCACTCTGAAATAAGTATGTTTGAGCTCGCAGTCGTCGAACATGTCAGCATTACCTCATAGCAATGCTTGTTGTGGTGTGCCAGCCCGGGTCGCCTTTTTTGGTTTCGGGGGGATGACATGAAAGGTGTTTGGGCTGATTGCTATCAAACTTCTGCCAGTCTCCTTGCCACTGCATGGCCTTTGCAGGAAGACACCTCATGGTTGACTATCAGAACTTCGGGTCTCATTTTGTCAGGCGCGGTTGAGATCGGTGCAGTGATGTTTCACTCTTCCGGGTCGACCTAACTGTTTTTGTGCTTTCTGTTCTCACTTTACTCATGCAAAACATTAAGATGCCGTATGGCGCGAGTGCGAGCTTATGCTGCCTACCTGCGAGGCAACAAGGAGTTAACCAACACTTCGCGCGAGACATCCATGCATGAGCAATTGCGTAATATAGTTACTGCACGCGCCCATGCTTATAGTTGTTATTGGTGCCCAGTGACAATCGCACATGCGTCAAAAGTGACAGTCGTTTTACAAGTGACTGGCATGTCAATGCCTTTGACACACTGCAGAGCCAGAGGCCGCCGCAACATGAGTTTGTTGGACGATTCTTAGCTGGCATGATGCTTGATACTCAACAAGACGAGTAGCTCACTTAACAGTCATGTCATTTTGCCTCAGTCGTCTACTCTCTTTGCAACCATCCTGACCCTTCGTGATGTTTTCCGGCGCGTTTGGGGGCCGCAGACCTGAGCTACGAAGGTTCTCGCGCAAACTCAATGAAACAGTGGGCAGCCTAGCACTTCCACAAATGGTGGAATTACTAATCGCTTCTCACAAAAAACAACGTCTCCCCCCCCCTCCCATAAAAATAATAAAAAAATGGGGGGGAGTTTTTGTTATTAGGGGTAGGTTGAGTAATAGGAAGAAGTGGTGAATGCATAGTTGGTGGTGCAATTGCCTGTTTTTGCCTCGCCGTGCTGCCTCCGCTGCCATACTGCTTCAATCACACGGCTGTTGTGGTTTTCAGATTGCACTTAGGCAGGGCGTGACTGCGACAGGTGTGGTTCAAGCGGATGATAGCCTTTGTATTGCTGGTGTCCTTGTCGTGGTACACTCTCTTTGGTTCATTGAGGCAGCACGGGCTGCTTTTGCAGCGCCATGAAAGAGATCAGTTGAGCGCCCAAACACGGTCCAAAAAGCACCCATCCCTTTTGCTGCTGAAGCATGCCATATACCGACGCGTACCGTGCCATGTGTCAGCTATGACTCGACCCCAGCGGTGGATTGGAGTTGTGGGTAGGTCTTGTGTTGCGCCTTGCTGCCATATCAGTGCATTCACGAGCAGTCAAATGTGCAACTGGCTCAACTCAGGATTCTTCCAGTATCTTGTGTTTCTTGGGTAGACCCCAAGGGTCCTTGAAGATCTTGTTGAATTGGACGTATCATGATTTACTACTGCAACGCATTTGATATCTTTGGCTCAGGGCCCGCGCGCAATAGGATCTTCCAAGTTTTCTCAATTCCAATGTGTGCTTTCAAAGTGTTGAAACAACACTAAGCATTGGGTGGGTTCCAAGGAATTCAGCGAAACTCACGCGCCCTGTGGGTTTCTTCGGAAAAGCGAAAAGCATGCACAAGGGCGAAGCTTCAGGTTTCAAAGGGCGAAGTGTGGCTGGACGAAATCCGCCTAGCACGACATGAAACCATGGCTGAAACCATAACGTATTGTTGGGGAATCGAATCATTGCAGGGTGTCTGAACAGTGTGAAATGGATTTCGCCCATCAGTATGAAGGTGGATATTCGAAGGTTACGAGGGAACTGTTGCTAGCCATTGTGAGAAGCGGCCACGCCTATGAGTTTACGCCTTTTTTGGCCGCGTATTTCGGCGATGCCGGCTTGTTCTGTCATAGGTTAAACTTCATATTAGCTTCGACCGACAACACAGTTACTCGGCAGGCAGGCAACATCCACCGGCCAGGCTTTTCCCGCCCAGAGTTGCTTACCACGTGGAACACGTGCAGGTATTGCAGGGTTCCACACAACTGACACCTGCAGTCTCCAGCGCAGAATTGAATGACTGAATTGAATGACTGCCTTGACATGTGTTTTCGGATGTTTCTGCTGAACAGGAGGACCTGCAAGGCCCTGATGCCTGGCAGGATCCAGCTATGAGGAGGGCGTAAGCATCACCGTCCGCGGCAACTCCAAAGATTCAAGCCGCGGGCTGAGTCCAAATTACGAGACCTACCAACTGTGAGAGCTGCGGATGTGAGCAGTTTAGAAAACTGCTCAGCGAGTGTGCTGAACATCTTCCACCAATGGCCCGCCCTGGACAAAGATATGCAAAGATGCACTGGAGAACTTTACCAGCGGCTATGGCAATCACGTCGTCATGTTTTATTTTTGTGTTTCCCCCTTGCATTTGCTTGCAATAATCCGCTGAATAGTTGGAGAATTCCCATCGAACCTTTGTGATTCTCCCAGGCAACACATTGTTGACTGGGCCGCAGGCAGGCATGGTCAGCTTTCTACTCCTTTGAGGGCTAGTGCAAAGGCCGTACAATACAACACTCTGCGGAAGACTTGATGAGAACCGCATGTTGACTTGAGCGCAATAAGAGATCGCTGAGGCTCCAAGGCCGAAGTAGCTGATGATTGTTTTCAGTATTTTGGTGTACTTGGTGCAAGGTCTAGACCAAGGTTGGGATTGCTATGAAGCCACCTCACCTTTGAAACAGACCACAGTTGGTGAACAACTATTGATTAATTTTCAATTCTAGCCTTTCACAGACCCAACAGCAGCAAACTTGAACCGCCCCATTTCCAACTTTTACCCCATTGAAAGAACCGTAGCATGGCCGCAGTCAGCTGCTTTGCCGAGTTACGAAATTCTTCAAGCTCGCGAATGACTTCGGGGGCTCTTCTGGCCGCCGCTGGAGCCAGACGTTCCCATTCTCTTTCCAAGGCGCTTGGGATGGGCGAAAGGAGCCTGTCAGTGAACTTCTGAAAGACCGGGCGCTTGAAAGTGGATATGGATACGTAAGTTGATATTCAGTTTTGGAGGTAGCGGCTGGTGACATGTGCGTTGGTGAAGCACACGGCGTCACAGCAACGGATTTGGAAGCCTCTGGTCCTAGAGTTTCATTTAATGGAAGGCAACCAAGGCAATCCAGAAAGCACCTTCGCTACATCAAAACCAGCCTCTCAGCAGCCTGACGTGCGAAACCACACGAGCCCGCGGGGCCAGCCGCGCAAGCGCGCGGGCACGCGCTGGGGGTATCCAACGCTGGCCCCAGCTGCCGCTCCGCGTTGCCAGCTTTGTGCTGTGTGGAAAGCAAGACCTCCCATTGCCAGCGCCAGCATTGCCGGTGGGAGCCAGACCCAAAAACATTGCAAGTAGCCATGAAACCAAACCAAACTGAAATCACCCGTAATAATATGACGCAGTGATGCTCATCATTGGTATTGTAATCTACGCTGCATGGCCGCGCGTTCGGAGCAGCGTGCCTTCCTAGTCCTCCTGCTGTAGTCTTTTAGTAGTGCTGTAGTCTCCTTGTAGTAGTCTTCTGGTAGTTTTGTAGTCTCGTACTCTTCCCGGAATATTATCGTTGTCCTGTGGTCTCGTCAGTCTTTCTGTAGTCTACCAGTTTCTCTGCTGTGGTTGTCCTGTAGTCCTGTAGCCCCCGAATTCCTGGCAATTTGTTGTAATCTGCCAGTAGTCAGCACCGTATTGGGATGACACGGTTTCGCTAAATATATTTTTCACGCAGTAATCCTTAAAATTGTGTACCGCCTGGATGTAGCTGAGAAGCTCAAGTTCGCAAGCAGCGCCGGGTGACGTTGGTTTCAGCCCTGTGCAGGTGTGCTAAGCGTCGCTGGGAACCCGAACATATCCAATCAGACAAGTTAATATTGGCTTGGTCAGCCGGGTACTTAAGAATGTTCGACATGTTTTTTGTTTGTGTTTGTTTGTTGTGCGGAGTGTTGTGATTCTTCTAGCGTGTTTATTTGGCTGCTTGCTTGTTGGTTTGTTTGTGTGCGTCATTATTTATTTCTTTCTTTCTTCTGCCAGTCTTTCGTTATTTGTCTCTTTCTTTCTGTTTTTCTGTCTTTTTTTGTTTCTTTCTTGCTAGAATCTTTCTTCCTCTGGTTATTTGTTTGTTTGCATGCTGGCTTGTTTGTTCGTACACACGTACGCACGTGCGTGCGCTCTTTTATTTGCGTGTGATTGACAATACTGCAATTCTTGTCTGAACGATGGGCAATTCGGGGTCAGATACCCACAGCTTGCTGTTGCTTTGTTTTCAGGAGTTGTGTGCTGTCAGATCAGTCCAGATGTCAGCTTGCCGGAACACACAGGATTGCGTTACGCGACTGTGGTCTACAGACGACGTTGTGTTAAGGCAAGGATCATCATCAAAACAGCCCAAGCAACTTGGAACTCAAGTTGCGGCGAGGGATTGCATGAAGGGACATTCCATCAACCAATGTTGCCATGCCATCCATGCGCAGAGTCAGGTGCACAACACATGCAGGGCAGGCAGCTTAGAGTTCTGATCTCTAAGTTCTATCCGGGGTCATATTGGGGATCGCGGCCATGGATATCAGGAAGTTGCATGAACGTCCTGCTGATTGTTTGACGGGGGTGGTTGGTCAGGAGAGCAGGTATGGGGGTTTGGGTTGGGTTGGGTTGGGTTGGGTTGGGTTGGGTTGGGTTGGGTTGGGGGGTTGGGTGGGTGGTTGGTTGGGGGGTGTGGGTTGGGGGGGTCGGGTTGGGGGGTTGGGGGGGTGAAGTTCATTTGTACCGTAGTCGATTGTGTGGGGTGCTGTCAGATATGTTGCCGTTTTATCATTGCGAGTGAATGCAAGAAAACGACCCTCTTTCCAATAATACAAGCGGACAGGGGTTTTGGAAGACTACAGTCCTTTTGAAAGGGCCTTCGGTTGATTCCCATGATTGTTGGGCCAAACTGCAAACACGTGCAAACGCCGTGCTTGCTATGTGTGGAACCCTGGCAACTCCGTGGACGGCATTTCATCCAAGCGTACTTCCGTAGTTTGTTTGCAGCCTTCGGCAGGCTGCACAGTCGACATCGAGACCAACTGGGTTTGGCAGGCTGGGAGAGCACCATGTGCGGCCAGCCAGCCTTGTCGGGTTGTTTGCAGGGGAGCCTTGCCAAGGGAGGAAGATTTGGCAGACTTTGAGAGGCACTACACATTTGCGCTCGACTAAGGCTTGTTGGATTGACCGTTTTATTTGAGGTCAAACGAGTTGTTGGATGGACATCCCACCTCGCCGCTTAATGGTTTGCTACTTCATGCTCGCTACTGTGCTGCACTCCCCATGTTAGATGAGCAGTTCGACCCCATCAGAACCATTCCTGCCATGGAAAGCAAATCGTTCTGTTTGGATTCAAATACATTGGAATGGTTGAGCCTGACCTTGACCTCATGACGCATTGCTGGAGGTTTGACCGTCAGGGCTTATCACTTGCAGAGCCGAGCGTCTCAATTCTTGCGTCTGACGGCCTATGAAGCGTGGCCTTCTTTGCTTCTACACTTTCAGCCCGCTTAGCGATTGCCGGGTCGCCTGAACCACTTCGGTACGAGGCATTGAGGCGTGGTGTGAAACGTAACATATGGCAGCTTTTTGAGGGGTCTGTAGCAGAGCCGCAGCGGACATTCGTTACATACCCCGTTACATACCTCTGTAACAAGACCTGCTGGATCGTTACACACCCCTCACTACATACCTTTGTTGCATACCTCACGTTAACAAGACCACCTGGCTGGTCGCATGCCCCTTGTTACATACCCCGATGCATACCCAGACTCTGAGCGATTTCCCATGGGTGCCTGCAGAACAGGCTTTTGCAGAGCATGCTTTCGCTGCAGAGTCAACTTGCAGAGAGCTTGCATTCACAAGTACAAGTTGGAACAGGTACCCAGTTTTCCAGTGGCGCGTTTTTTCTTATTCCTTTTTTTTTGGGTGGAAGCGTTCCTCTTTAAACTCAAGCAACCAAACAAGGATGCCCTTTTAACCAAACAAGGATGCCCGTTTTTCCCACGGAAATCCACTGGGCATCTGAGGGTAGGGGGGGCATGAAGAAAGTAACGGGCTGCCCCTTTTTGCACTTTTTGCAGTCGCTTGGCTTGCATAGAAGTCTTTTGCAAAGTTCAAGTTCAAGGGGTGGCGGAGGTGCACTTTGCTAGGCTTCGTTACATAGCTGTTACATACCACAGACCCAACTCATTCCGTCATTGTTCTTCAACTGTTTGCCTTCGCAGCGCTTCTGCCTCAAGCCTGGACACGAGGACCTTGGATTTGGACCTGTTCGTTTGGACATGCCTTTCTTCAACTCCGCATGCAGTTTTACAGCAACTGGTTTGGAATGGCGGGCTGCTGATGCGCCGACGCGCACAATTGGCTGAGTGGGTGGGATTTCCGAAAAAAGAAAAAAGAAAAACAACTGCTAAAGAAGATGCTTGTCAAGCCTTGTAGCTATGCGGAGCCACCCCGGACCACTCGCAGAATTGCGGAACCGTTGCGGAACCCTGCGGAACCTCACCTCAGAGCCACCCCGGACCACCCGGAGCCGTTGGGAACCCTCGCGCAAACCTGTGAACACTTACTTCAGAGCTGCCCATCTGGGTTGAGAACCCAAAAGTTGTTGAGGAGAAATCAAGCCAAATTCAAAGAACTGTCTGAACAAAAACCAACAAATCTGCACACCTAAGATGTTGCAGTATTGGATTGCGCTGAATATCGTTGAATAATTCCGAATTTCGAGCTGGAGCTGCGGAGGTGCGCGTTGCGTACTCTTTACGAAGCCGTTACATACCTCGTTACAGCCCGGGCCAGCTGTGTTGAACAGTGGCAAATCTCATTATGGAGCTGCAGGGGTGCGCTTTGCGTACTGTACTTGCACTAAACAGTTGCGACTTTCTTGCTGGAGCTGCGGCGCTTTGCTGCTTTGCGCTAATTACATTGTGTTTTTGATACTTGTCAAGCATCGTTTTCCCGGCTCGCACCGGAGTAGCAAGGAACCCCATCATGCATACTTCCATGACAAGATTCGCGTCGTGGATGCTTGGCAGCTCTCATCTCGCTGCAACAGAGAGACCGTGGCCCTTTGCCTGTGCAGGGGCACATACAGTGTTCTGGGGCTGCCCTGATTCGCATTTTGGATGTTAATGCTTTCTTCCTATCCCCAGCCCACCGGAAAAATTGTCAATACTTCTGTTGAATTACCAAATGCTAAACCAATGCTGAACTCTCCCGAGCCCAGATCCACTCAACGAAACTCTGCAAATGTGGTCTGACCCAAAAGTTGTGGTTATTCTGAGCACTTCCCCTCCAACCAAAGGGCTACCTGCGTTATTAGGGTCTCCGTTGGGTTCCCTTCACAAGGTTTCCTTTTGACAACAAACCAGGGTTAAAAAAACAAGGGCGCCTTCCGTTTTAAAGTTCTTGCTCGGAAGTTGCATTTTGAACAGTTTGTTTGCAAAGCAAAGGGGTTCCCCTGTGCCATTTTTCATGCCAGTACTAAACTACGCAGTCTGAAACAGTTCTGGCCCAAATCCCGGGGACCCTAACAATAAACCCCGCGTGCACATGCTCACTTAAATGCTCGACTCTGTGGCGCATGTTTTGTGTCTCACAAAAGGTCTCCAATTCCTTTCATGTATGCCCCATGTCCCCCCCCAGATGTCCCCCCCCAAAAATAAGGGTTCAAGTCCATGTTGGTTTTCCTCAATCAGGGCCGCCCCTCAGAAAAAGCATGGCTTCAAGTTTGTGGCGGTTGCCTCAAACAAGTCTCCAAATTCGACTACCTCAAACAAGCAACGTACCATTTTTGCGCATTTTTTTCGTAGGGCAAAATAAAGGCTTAGTAAGGGCTTAATAAGGGCTTAATAAGGGCTGATTTATTTGGGGGCGGGGTACCTGTTTTTTCCTACCCTCTGCGTGTTTTGGCACATCAGGCGGTTTGGCGCCAAAACCGCAACACGCCGGCAACAAATAAGGGGTTTGCTGAGGCTGTTCAGCCAGTTGAAGGTCATGTAAAATAAAAGAGGCTAGGCAGCTAATGCGCAACAAGTTTGTAGTTGATGTTTGAGCAACATCCTTATGTAGGCCTGAATATGCCCTTAATAAGGCCGTATTTGTGGCTTTTCATGAAAACCAAATATTAATGTCTTATACTCGGGCCCTGGCATTTGCATATGCCCTCACTTCAAGTCAGTGGCCTTCCGACTTCAAGTCAGTGGCCTTCCGACAGGTGCCTGGGAATGCAGCCTACTTCATCCGACCCAACATGGTGCCGGTGGTGCCTCAACTTTTCCGGAGGGAACTGCGTGTTGGCATCGGGGTAGACGCAGTGAAGCAGATGACACAGCAGAATGTGTGTTCATGCTACCTTGAGAAATGGAATGGCCTCTTGTGTGTATATGTGTGTGTGTGTGTGTCTCTCTTTGCAGCATGCAAATGCACGCTGAGGCCGAGGCTGGCAGAGTTTCTAGCTTCGCCACATCATGGCTATCCTGCGAGCATAACTTGCTAGCTTCACCTAAGATCTTCATCATCGGTTGAGTTTCTTTGAACGGCGCAACCAGAGGTCCGCTCCCTCAAAGAACCTGAGGAACCCCCATCGTCAGTGTTCCTTGGATGGAGGGTCCAAGCATGCTGGCCTGAAAGCTTGTTCGCATTGGCATTAATATTGCACCAAGGGAGATTTCGATGTGAGCCTTAGAAAGTTTGGAGTATCCTTCTTTTGTGCCATGCCAGATTGTCTTCGACCCCCCGAGAAGGTGTGCTGTAGTGGTGCTGCTTGAATCGTTGATAGTTTTTGCCGATGCGGTCACTCATAAGTGTGCAAGGAGGTGAGGTCCTGGTGTTGAAATATTAAGGGGACGACCATTAGTCTGTGTATGTGCCTCCGCGAAAACTCCGCAATGGACTTCACATGGCCCTGAATCTCCAGGTGTGCATTGTTCCTGCCGTTTGCCGAAAATCCTTTGTAAAGATTCGCAAATGTTGGTTGGGTTCCAAGCGTTTGCAATGTTTTTTTTGGGTTCCCACATGTTCGCCCAAGCAACAGTCTTCTAGCCACATTCGCTTTGCCTGGTTTGAACCTCGCAGTTTGGTCTGTCACACAGTCTGGCCTGTGGAGCTTATTTTGGCAGCGCATGCTTGGCTGCAGCTGTTGCGGGGGTCCAGGTGGCCATTCTCTGCCTGAGAGTCCCGATGGTCCAGGAAACCGGTGCGTGGGCGGCTTCTGAAGATGTCAGGCTGCTTACTGCCAATAAAGCACACGTTGTCACTGCTTTATTAGTTGCCATTTTTCCGCACGTAATGAATAAAGGCTCATGGGTTTTTCACATCCACTTTCCAGGGCTTGTGGTCGTTCGGGTTTTTGGCTGGGCGGGTCGTTACCACATGGCGCAGCGACCCGAAAGCGGAGAGTGGACCTGGCGTTTTCACGCCAAGGCGCAGGCGCTCTTTGCGGCCTACGACCAGTTCATCTCCAAGATGCCGGCCTACTCCGCGCAGGCGCTTGGAAGGTGTACGTTCCCTGCGGTGGCGAGATCACTCGCAGAAAGTTGCTTTGGGGATTTTCTCCGGAAA